CAGGAAAGAAATCATTGGCGGCGACTGTACGTCGAACATCGGACGCAATAGGTTTGTTCTTTTTAGCTGAACTAGTTCTGCACTAGAACTGCACTGAACTGGTGAGGACAGCGCAGAATTGTACTGGTGCAAGCGTACAGAGAGGAATAAAAAGAACGCTACAATAACCACAGTGCAGTGACCAAAATGGCAGCTCAAAATATTATAGAATTATTAGATTCATCTGATTCTGATGAAGAGAATTTAATGGTGATACAACCACCAGTAGAACCGATGTTAGATGAAGATGATGGTAATTTAAAATCAATTGTTACAAAACTTGTAACTAATCATATAAAAGAGTGCCAGAAAAATCTAACCTATTCTAATGTCATTTTAGATTATAACGAACTGCAAATATTTTATGCAATTTTTGGAGCAATCCAAAGAATAGAGCATGTGAGGATAAATAATTATGTAGAAAACATAGTCCGAAATTATGATAATATCGATTTTATCATGCACTTTCGACTATCGAGAGAAAAAACATTTCAACTCATTAATCAATTCAGAGTATCTGAAATATTTATGTCTTTACAAGGTATGTATCATTGTATGTATTTGTATATACAGGGTGTATGACGAGAAGTGTAATATATGCAATGTTATGTTCAAATTCCGAGATTCACGGGAATTACTGGAGAACGAAGGGAAAGCTAGCTAGGGATGGGGGTACGAGAGGACGCAAAGGTGATAATGTCAACAATCAACAAATAAAAGTCTCTATTGTCTCGCGTTAATTTGAACAGTATCTGTACTGTTATCTGGATTGAAATATTTTTCAAGAATTTTCCTTAGGAACCCTTTGACATACGGCAGTGCCAAACTTGTGGACTTTATTCTATTTAATTTTTTATGTCTGAGAGGGTATGTCTCACGATTTGATCCCTTCTTATCCCCAAGATAATTTTATTAGAAAAAGTTCTTATGAAAAGTTCTTACAAAAGATTTTTACGAAAGAAAGAAATCGTGGAGTCCACAAGACGTAACAACAATATACATTTAGATTAGATCATTCTTAACAGAAGTCCTTTACTAAATAATAACGTAAAATTTCGAGTTATTAATTGAAAATTTATGTTAGTGGTTTTTTTTTAGTAATTCTAATATTTTTATTATTTATATTTATTTATATTATTTATAATTTTTATTATTTATATGTTATTATTTGCAAAATGGTAAAGAACTATTTGGTTCAGAATGATCTAGTCTACATGTATATCACACTTCTTCTGTATAATATATGTATGTGTATATATAATGACAAAAACATGTTATTTTTAACAGTAAAAAATTAACATTAAATTTTTTTCAGATGCAGGACGTGTTAAAATAACAGCAGAAAAACATATATTATGTTACCTATGGTTTGTAGGGCATCAAAGTGCATCTTATCGTGATGTAGCTGATCGTTTTGGAGTGACAATAAGCGCTTTGTACAATATCATAACTCGAGTAACTGATTATATAATGTTACTAGCACCTAATATTATTAAATATCCAACGTTAGTTGAAAAAGAAGAAACTGAAACATTTTATAGAGAAAGAAAGGGATTTCCTGGTATAATTGGTAATGTAATCATGTTTATATTCATGCATGTGATATGTTTCAGTCACACACTAATTCTTTTTTTTTCAGGTGCTATTGATGGTTCACACATAAGGATAGATAAGCCACTCGAAGATCCTGATTCATATGTTAACCGAAAGCAATATTTCTCTCTACATGTTCAAGGTACAGTGGACCATAAAATGAAATTTATGGATGTTTTTATAGGATATCCTGGTTCTGTTCACGATGCAAGAGTGTTTAGAAATTCCTATTTGCGTAATGATCTACGTGAGTTGTGTGCAGGTTAGTTGAACAGTACAAATAATAATAGTCAAAGGCTAATAAAAAATAATTAATGTTTTAATATCATTAATCTTTCTTTAGATAATTACTTTTTGCTGGGAGATAGCGCATATCCATGTTTAAAGGAATTGATTGTCCCATATCGAGATAATGGGCATCTGACACGTGCGCAGAGGCATTTTAATCGAAAACTGAGTTCCTGTCGCGTAATTATTGAAAATGCATTTGGGTGCCTCAAGCAACGGTTTCGTCAGCTCTATCATTTTAAATTACGCGATATAATACGTATGGTACGCGTAATACATGCGTGTTGCATACTTCATAATATAGCAAATGAGCAAGATTTACAATATCTTGAACCAGCTATAGATGATGAATATCCCGACAGAGAAGCACAAAACTTAAATATTAATATTGATGAAGCAGCACCCGCAGCACGAGAAAATGAAACTGGCGTACACATTCGAGATGATTTATGTCGTTTGTTGTCTCCTTAACAAAGTATAATAAGACTGTTCATTGTATTGTATATTTTTTATAAAAAATATATAGAAATAAGAATGAAAAGACTTGTAAGGAGTATACAATTATTTATTACAAAATAAATATTTTGTTACATGTGAGCGATGTTTTTATCATAAACTTAACGTTTTTTATATACTCCCTTTGAACAAATAAAATTATTTTTTGTTAATAAAACATCTTGTTTTAAAATAGAATAGTCCATCTTCAAATTTCTCTGGCACTGTCTAATTAATATTACAAACAAAAAATTTAGAAATATATATACGGATAATGAGAAGTTCAATTCTTATGTACGTATATATTGCACATACTAAAAACGAAATAAAATATACATCACATTAAAAAATATGCATTATAATGCATATAATAAAAAAAAAAATAAACTATGACATTGTGCAACATGTTAACTTATACGTTACTTATATAATATAAAATTATAACTCATTTGTACTGTGTTACTTTGTACTTGTCAGTATTTGTTTAAATGTATTTTTTTTAATTTCTCAATCCAGAGAAACAAGATCTCGTAGCAGTTTATTTCTTTCCTGCCTTAAATTATTAGCAGTTGTCAACTGTTCCTTTATGGTTTTTGCCATGTCTTCATAAATAGTTGATATTCGTTTATACTCAGCCAAAATTTGCTTCTGCACATCTAATTTCGCATTTCTTTCAATTAGGATATTCTCTGTAAGCGTGTCTAAAGTTTTGTGACACTTTTCTAGCACTCGTCCTGTAGTACCTACTTGTGTTCTTGCGCTTTTCTGTGGCACCTATAAAACATGCATGTTTTCAATCACATACAATCGATATAAAATTGTATTAATACATGTGTCATTATACGCAAGATTCCAATAAAACTTTTCACTTTCAGTTAAGGATATTTCATCTAAAAAAAATAGTGACCTTCCAAAAGTAGAGATTTTAAGCTATAAACCGTTTTTTTGGACTTAAGTTTCGTTTATTTTTAAGAAGTTACAGCTGCCTGAATTTTGCCTTTTTTTCTAAATTAAGTATTTCTCTAATTTTTGTGAAGTTTATTTTTGTATCATGACTTTGGTTTTGAAAAGAATTAATAACTCAGTCACATAAAATGCAACAATAATAATGCATATATTCCACATGAATATTACTGTTGCATTTAATGTAGCTCAGTTACTGATTCTTCTCAAAATCAAAAATCATGATACAAGAATATGTTGATACAATGTATCTAAGCCAATATATCCTAACTGGAAGTAGAAAACATTATTGAAGTCCTGTATACTTACTTTGCTGAGATTCTGACTTATAGTATTCTTTTGGAGCATTATATTTACAGAACTTTCACCTCCTTCGTCTAAGTCTTCTTGTAAGGACAGAGTTGTTTCATTGTTATAATGATTTGTATCTACATTTTGTCTGTGTTTTTGGTTTGCATCTATAAATATTCTAAAACAAATATATAATGTTCATGTGAATTTACAAAAGGACTGTTATATATGTAAGATATACATATTTTTTTTATTATTAACTTTATATTAATATTATTTCCCTATTTTTCAAATAAAAGTTTATTTTCTTTTTATCAAACTTACTCTTCCTCTCTTGCCTCTGTCTGAAATGTGCTTACTCGGTCTTTTCTTATTACCGTACCTTCTTTACCAGAAACTGCCACAGGTTCTACATTGTGTTTGTATCCAAGTAATTCTGTTAATTCTCTGTAACAAAAATAAATACATTTCATTACATAATATACCTTACACACAAGTCGAAATAAAATTAATATTTACCTTTCATATGGACACGTCATACGTCCTCTGCCTGTCTGTTTGTTGTTTGTAATCATATTTTTATATGATCTCTCAAGTGACTTCATTTTATTTTCTACTTGCGTTGGTGTGACATCAAATCCCTGCATTTTCATGCTTTCACAAATTCTTTGCCACAGTATTTTTCTTGTTTTAATTTTTCTGTTGGTTAAAAGTTCTTTTTTTTCTTTGTATAATTCGATAAATAATTTTGTGCTGGCATCTGTCCAAGTAAATGCTCTATTTATATCCAAATCCGAAGATGAGCAATTTTCTTTATTTGCTTCATTGTCATTTAATTTAATAAAAACACGTTTCTCTCCAACAGTACACTCAAGCGTGTCTTTGGTAAAGTCAATTTCGTTGTATTCTATTTGAAAGCTTAGGTCTACAAATAATTTATCATTATTTATTACACATAAAACATACACAAAGTATAATATTTATTTACTTATTAAAAGTTTAATACCTTTAGAGATACATGTGACAAATCCATCCTCATTTACTATAATGTTGCCTGCTTCATCTCTTACTATAGATCCGAGTAAGTCTTCCATTATGTGATTGTTTACTATATATTCATATATATAATGTTAATAAATTTATTTATAACTAATCCAATGATATTAATGTAATATAATATATAAGTAGAAGTATTATATAAAACACTTATTTTTAATAAATTCTTCTTTTATTTCTCTCCATCCACACGTAATGTTTATAATATATATTTACCGAAAAAGAATATATAACAGAATACCATTCTAATTATTGTAATATATAACAATATCTATTATTTATTATAGTACTTTATAATACTTCCAATTATATTATTTGTACTATTATTCTGCTTATATTACTTATAATTTTATTATTTATACCTATATATCTCTCTTATACTAATATTAAACTAATATTTGCATTAGTATACTTGCACTGTAATACGTTACGGTTTGAGGTTAAAGCATACCACGGTTTTCGTCCACGTACGCTGCCATATTGAACTGCACCGCTGTACTACCTCCAGACCTAGGGCAGGCAGTACAGTGAACTGTTGCACTGAGTACCGTTGCACTGCTAAAACGAACAGCAACAATGACGTCACTTCTGCTAAAAAGAACGCTTTAGTGTACACTTCTTGAACTAGTGCAGCCAGTTCAGCTAAAAAGGTGAATCCTCCATAAAGAACTACGCACGTTCAATCACTAGCTTACCGCCTTTACGCCTTTACCGGCACCGGCTGTTTCCGGCTCCGGCTTGAACATGACCAATGATGACCAATGACCAATGCTTTCACCTTCCGCGTGCTTCCGCTCAAACGAGTATTTTGCTAATAACAACTTTTGAATATCGAGGCGACGTGAGGTTGGTGATACGCTCGAGTCGCTTAAAGAGCTTTTAGGGCATTTTAGGGTGACCCTCGTTATCGCGGCGTCTCGGAAGCTCGGAACTCGGAAGATCGTCCCACTTAACATTGCCGGGGCCCGGGGCAACGTCTGAACGTCTGAACGTCTCGGCGTGTTAATGCCGCCGTGTTTGCCACATATCCAAGACGCGGTGCGAACCGATCATGAAATTTCACTGCACGGTCGAGATCCATGACAGAACGTTGTCCGTCTGCTCACAGAGACGATCGCAGTCGATCTTGGCGTTCACGAAGAAATCAGACAGGAACAACGAAGTGTACCTGTATCTGCAAACGCGACAGAAAAAGCAGGGCACGAGATATCAGGTAGGCAGCACGAGCTTACGGAAAACAACGTAGCTTGGCATATCAATTTTCATGGTTTTGGCGGAGCTTGAACTGCGCCGTTCACTTTGATTTTCAACGATATATACCTAATACGCGTCTTTTTTTTTCTTCTAGATTGTCAACAATGTAGAACAGGTGTTTACCAAGTTTATCGCTGATGGCAAAGTTACGATAAGACTAACGCGACCGTGTCACGATCTGATCATTCAGAGTACGTCGATTCACGTAAAGAGCTTCATTCATGTACTGAATCTTATAAGAAACGCACAGTTTCAACATCACGACATGGTTGTAAAGGACATTGTAAAGAGTGTAACTCTTACGCCTAACGTGTTTTTCAACTCGAGTGAATTCTGCCTGGTAAAAACGAAAGTTGTGGTGAATAAAAAATCTGAGTATCCGACTTTGCAAGGTTTCCCAAGAACGACGGAGCAGCTAATTTTAAGAGGCCTGGACAGAAAGTCGTTTGATCGGCAAATTTTGCGTCTGCAAAGTCTAAACGTTCTAGATCTATCGGACAATAAGATCTCCTATCTGCCGAGGGAGGTAGGCACCTTACCTCACCTTCAACAGCTTGTACTATCGCGGAATACGCTTGGAAAGTCGCCTGGATCCAAGTGGGCATGGCTAGAACAAACTGCCATTAAGCACACGTTACAATTCTTAGATATAAGTGACAATTCGGTAAGTTAACGTATCCAGCACGTATTCTGTCGTCTGTGTGAGAAACTTGATCCCAACCGTTATTAAACCGTTAATAATATAATATAATTTATTACAGCTGACTGAGTTGCCGATACAAATCAGAAACCTAAATGCCTTGGCACATTTGAAGGTTAGCCAAAACGAGTTGGCGTATCTACCACATAATATCGGAGCTCTGCGAAATCTGAAAGTTTTGGACGTGGCGAGAAACCGTTTGTCGTATTTACCAGCTACCATCACGCATCTACGACTACAGTTTTTAGATGTTACGGAAAATCCATTTACCCATGACACTAAAACGTACGTTCATGGTACGGAGAGTACAACGAGCATAAGAATGCCAAGCCTTGTTGACGTGTCAGCGAAAAGTATCCTGAAATCTAGGTTTTTATTTCTTTTGCATAGTTAAATGCTTGAGATACGGAGCGTGATACGTGAAACGCGAACCGAGATAATGATTTTTACATCTTTGTAGGATAACATACGATGCAAGTACAATACCGTATACATTAGTCGAATATTTAGATGAAGCGAAATGCTGCTACTTATGCAGAACTGCCTGCTTTGCGTGTTATATAAGGAAGCTCATACGTCTACCTCTGCTACTTGTTGAGATAAAAACGTCGGTGGGTACAGCTTTAAAATTTGAATCTTATTTCTGCTCGTTACCTTGCGCTAGTACGTACCCTGTGTAAGTCACTTTTTCTTTATTAGTTCTTTCTCAGTTTTACGTCCAATACGCAATAAAATTTAATAAAAAATTTAAAAACGTACAAGTTGTTAAAAAAATTTGTAATAATCCCCCATTTGCCTGTACAAAGTACGTGCACTCTTATTTATATTATATTTATTACATTTACCCGTGATGTGAACTGATCAGACCAAAATCATTGCTCAAGATCAAATGTAAGAACGACATGATATAATTTTTATTCATAGACTATTTTTATATACCTTTTTACGCGTGTTGTTTTATCTTATTGATTGTATATAATATAAATTTTATTCATTTATATCAGTGTGACACGTTATTTGTAAAGCTCTGAGTAATACGTTATACAGGGTGTCCCAGGACTTTTAAATGTGTAAATGTGTAAATAAAATAAAAAATAAAAATTAAATTAATTACTCTAAAGAACGTGTAGACTAATATTGTCAGATGTCATGCGCACGGCTGTCGTGCGACCGCACTTGCCTATAGGCCTATGAATCATAATAATAGTCTCTATTCTAAAAAATGGATTAAAATATTTAAAATTATTTTAAAAAATAAAATCATCATTTGGAGAGTACATAAAATAGCCAACATACATAACGTTAATATTTTCTAAAAAAATAAGGATAGATTTGAGTTTACGTATTTCCAGAATAATAAATTAAAAAGACAATAAAGAAAGATATAGAAAGATATAAATTAAAAAGAAATATTTATTGTCTTTGTAAGTATCTTACACAACATGATTAACTTTTTTATTATTAATATATAAAAACGTACGCTTGCCTTTAATTAAATAAATAAATCAAGTATTTTTGCCTTTTAGAATACATCCTTCGGGCCTTTAGTGTTCTGTAAGCAATACATAAAACGCAAGTAAATGATGTGCGTTTATGAAAAATCAATATGATTAATCCATCATTTATAATACATAAAATGCAATAAAACAAATGTTTTATACGTGAAACGTCTTCTTCGAAAATAATATACAACTAATATTTATTGTTATAGGAACAGTAATAATATACAGGTCTTACTAGGCTTTAGAGTTATTTATAAATTTTCGCTATATTTTCAAAAAACACTAGTACGATACAACATTATGGTCATGTAATATACGTATATAATAGAATACCCTACTACTCCGTGTAGTAACGTCTAAATGCAGTAATGTTTTTGGAAGATTAAAAAAAATCCTTTTAATATCCACATACTTATATTTTTATTGATATCCGTTGCGTCCTCTTAGCAAATCTATCTCTACACTATTCTCCACGCGCGCGTCCCATTTTAGCATACATTCTAAAACTTTGAGCTCTTACGAACAACGTAAGATACGTGGAAGGCTAAATACGTTATTTTAATACTGACATTATTTTTTGCATATCCAACTCTTATGTCTATATTGTTTGCTATTATGCGTGTGATAAAGGCTAATGTTTACGATATCTATCATGTTAGGTAACATTTTTTTTTCTTTACAAAATCAAAACGAGACTCGTCAGTCTCTCCAAGATAATAATCTCGTGGTGTGATTTTTGTCTTCTTGCCGATACGTGCTACGGTAAAATCTATGTCTTTGAACTTTTTTGTATCTATTCCCATTTGCAAAGGGTGAACAAAAACTTCAGGATCTTCACGAAGAGGAACTGATTCCACTTGGCATTTATCCGTATCCGTTACATACTTGTTGAATGCGGTTCCATTCTGATGACGTAAGGTGAGAAATGTTTTTTCTTATGTTTAGACAACTCTGTCTCTCTGAATACACGTATCAAATGTATAACGTAATGTTATACACGACATTATAGAATAATGTTGTATATGTTACTTATGCTTACCAAGGTTTCCATGTCGTTTCCGATATTTTTCTTTGCTGTGTTTTCATTGTACGGAATCAAATCCTGCAATGTAATTTTTTTGGTTCTTACGAGACCCATAATTGCAGCGTTTCTGTACAATCTATCTTTCTGCTTAATATATTTATCGTCCAAGTCTTTAGCCTCATCAGGTTGATTTATATTATCGTGTTGAGAACACGTCTGAGGTATTTCTTTCTCAGATTTTGTCATCATCTCAAGCGTTCTTAACCAGCTTTCTTCCCAATGTTTATTCGAAAGGTCACGACCGCCATTTACCTATATCAGATCACGTTATATCTTATTAACTTTTTCTTTACACATATTTGAAAGATGTACACGAACGTTAAAGGATGCAAGGTTATTACACATCTTTCCTCGACATTTTTTTTATAAGACACTTGTTACGTTTACCTTAAAATCCCAACTGGATGCTATCATTTCCAATTAGAACATGATTCATCTCTTTGTTAATAGCCTACGTACCTTTTTAATAGACAAGAACCGTCCGCTTACCTCTTTAATGGCAGCAGAGACTTCATATTTGTCAAAGGTAGGTTTTACTTTACTAGTTATTATGTCCATGCTGTCATCGCTACTAGTGTCGGAGTCTTCCAATAACTAAATGTAAATAAACAAATACGTATTTATAAATAATATAAATGTGAAATATAAATCAAATATTATTTCTCATTGTATACATTACACATGCACTGACATTTAGGTTTCGTGGTTTCCGCACTTTTCTTTCATTCATCTTTCTATCTTTCGCAGCCTGACTCAATCCATGCAGTCGATAGAACTTGGCCGTGTCGTCTACGGAAGGGAGCAAAGTTGCCTTCTTAATATCGTTACGTAAATCCATATTTGAGAACCTGAAGATCAAGTATTACGTAAGTACGCAAGACCTTGGTTGTAAGACTGAACTTGTGACAAACCATTAGATTTTTTTTTCCACCCCCCCTAAGAAAAATCTACTTTTACACATGCAAATTTACACATACATATGCAGGGCAGGTTTCGGAAAGTGGCGAAAACCTTTTAAGAATGATAAATATGACAAACTTTTGTCAATAAGAAATTCATGGTTCAACGATGTCTCCTAAAGGCCAGTCAGTTTTTCGATCTTGTCGAATGTTGTGTTTAATTTCTGTAAGAGATCATGTGTTTTTGTTTTCTGTTTAATTTTTTCATCATAGCAAGCAAGTTCGAAATGGCACACCCCCCTTATTGTTACACATTACACACAACTATTAATAATGTTTAACGGAAATCCAAGTGCGTGGCACTTTAAGGAGACGTCGCCAAGAACACATATTACTTGCAAGTTGATCAATGGGCTTTCAACCCTCAACCCTTTGTAAGTTGATGTTCACTTTCCGAGAACGCCGTGTATATATTTCTTTCTAATCCAAAGTTGAAAAGAATCGAAACAGAATGCTATACATTTCTCACGTTATCGGATTTTAAATTTCCATTTCCATCTCTCTGTCACTTTTTATTCTCATGTTCTCACGAGAAACTCTACGTTTGCACAACTATCAAGTTTGTAGAGGTAAGAGGTTATTGAGGTTAAACTGTGCTTGGCCAACGTAATACCATTACCATTAACGTAATAAACGCCACATAAATGATTGAACGTACACGATGGATTCAAGATCGCCAATTTTCAACGCTCGTACTATTTCAAAAGAAATTTGAAGAGGCACGTTTGCCTTTGTTTGATCACACAGAGAACCAAGTTGCGAAAACAACTTTCAATTTACTTTATCGCGCACACTGATCAAAGTGACATTTTTCACATTGTTCTTGATATTGCGTGTCTTTTCCCCACACGTTTTCGATACCTCCGAAACCTGACGTCGTCCGTTTATGTCAAAATATTTATCGGATACGCAGACGTAACGTAGCATACATACGTAGCATATACGGACGTGGGCGACGTGGCCATGTTTACACTGTTCATATATGGCATGGAGTATGGATGGAGTGTCCTCCCTCGTAGCTGAACCTTTTACACCTTTTCATCTCCTCTCTTTTTCTCTCCAACGTTTACGTGTATGCATGTATCTCTCTCGTTACAAGTGCAGAAAGCACAGAGATCGCGTATCGCGTCCACAAGTTTTGTTCCCTGTAGCTATTCCGTGCAAGTTGGCCGGACAACTTCAACGTATCGAACTTTCATTAATTGGAATCGATTGGTGGTCGTTTGGTGGTCTTTGGTAGTCTAGTCCGATCGTTTGGTGGTTAGTCGTTTTCCTGTAAAATAAAAATGAAATTTCCGGTGTGAAGTTAGCCGGACAATTTTTATTTTTCAACCAATTTAA